ATTATCTATGGATCAGCAGCAGGACTGGCGGCGCTGGAGAGATAGGAGACTGGGGAGGGAGATAAAGAGAAGGAGCAGCTGTGCAAAGACAAGCAATGTTAGAGCAAGGAAACGGTGATAACTGTAAGTAAGGAAAGAACATGAAGGAAGAAGAGGAACACCGGTATTTAGAAGGAGGGGAGGGGGGGTGAAGCCGGCGCAGTGCATGTAGAGCAAATGAAAGCAAATCTGATTTTAAACGGACGTTTAATTTGTTTTCTCCCTCACCTGTTGTTCTATTGATCTATTTGTTTATACGGTCGATCGAATTGTTCCGACTTCAAACAGCTCACCACAAGGTCGGAGGATTGTCTTGAGTAACTGCGTCACAGCCTTTCTTACAAAACCAGGCAAATTACACCAAATTGAGGAAAAGGAAAACAGTGATTTTTTTTACTTCCCCCCCTTTGAGAGAATATGAAAAGATAATGTGGACGAGAACTAATTTGATGCGTCAAGGTGATGAAATGAAATATTATGATGCAATAGATAGAAGAGAGAAAGAAAAAAAAGGTGTGACGTGTGCGACGTGTGCAGAGATGAGTCCCAGTGGTCGAATAAACTGCATTATTGGTTTGATCAGCAAAGCGTGGAAGTGCTCCGCTACGTCACATCGATGACTCCCCACCTTCAGCTAATGGCCACGTGTGCAGCAAGCACTTCTTACGGGGCCTGAAAACGCACACACTGAGTTTCCAAATCCAGGGGGCTTAACTGGCCGGTAAAAACCGCGTTATGGCTCAAGCCTTTAAGGCAACACGTCGGCCCTCAACTCCACTTCCATCCCAATGCTTTCAGGGAAGGTTTAATCATTGCAACTGTAATGGAACCAAATGATACATCTGTGCCACATCTGACTTTACGGCGCACAAATGTCGTTAATAAAGTCATTAGTAAGCTATTACTTTGCTCTCACTTGAGGGAAGAATACGCAGACACGTTACGTAGTCCTGAATATGACCGACTGACTGACAAGCTCATGCAAACAAATCTGCAAATATCAAAGTTTCGTCTTCACTAAAAACCCCATTTGGTCTCTTTCTGAATCCCGACACATCTCGCACAATTCATTAATGTTTATCGTGAGCCGTCAGTGGGTAGAAAGGGGCACGTCTGCAATTTTCCTCTCTTCAAGCCCCATTTTTCAAAACAGAGTGTTGATTCTCAGCCTTGACTAATCTCGCAATCAGCTGTTCCTAAAACAATTCACACAGAACTAAGGCATTTTTACCTGGGACTCCTGTTCAGTGTTTGTATATGTCGACGGATTATAACCAAGTCAACAAAAGAGTGATTAGTAAAAGTAAAATGATCATGGAACCAACACTAGATTGTATACAAATAAATCCAGATTTTATGAAGCAAAATATATGTTTTCTGTACTCTCCTATTTTGTAAAGCATCTCATGGACGGTGTCCCCATGATGGGAACTCTGTTCTAAACTAATCTATAAGCAATTTTAGCAAACGCTGCTTTACTGGCAGAAAAAAAAAAACATTGCGCAATTGTAACCCAGGAGGTTCACAAACACTCTCAAAGAAGGCGCTTTAACCTCAAACGTTTAATCTCAGAGCATACGAAAAAAACAACATGCCGGACTAAGGGAGGCGCCCTGTGTTGAAGCTCGATCTGGACCTCACCTCGCCGTGTCTGATCTTCAAATCAAACATTTTCTATTCCCACAACTTTTTGAGTGAGGAGAACCAGTGGTGATCTCCTGCCGTGGGAGAGGTGTCTCATAGAGGAAGCTCACCAACCATTCACTTTTCTTTATACGCCCACATGCACACACAGTATTTTGGAGATTCCTACCAGAGTTTAGCTGTAATGATGACTGCCGTCAGGATGAGCAGCGAGGAGATGGTCACGGTGACGTAGAACTGAGGGTCCACTGTAACACACACATACACACACACACACACACACACACACACACACACACACACACACACACCATGACCATGTATAATTGTATCCAGAAGAAAGGAGGTGATGAATAAAGCCAGCTGAAACATAATATTGAATGTACGAGACGATGTCCTCCAACAAAAAAAACACGGATCCGATAACGTCTTGTATCTTGCACTTTGACGGCGGCCAATTCCTCAGTGTGAGTGATGAGAACTTTATTAGGCATTCCCGGCCACAGACACAGCCGGCTTCACACTGGTGACAGCGAACTCCTCGGGGGACTTGCGGTATGTGTATGTGTGTGTGTGTGTGTGTGTGTGTTCACATGGGCTGGGTCTCGTGGCTATCTTTATTTAGAAATCCTTCATGTGCATCTCCTGGTGCCCACCTTCCTCAAGCTCCGTCTCCTCCGCCCCCGTCCCTCCGTCCTCAACCCCCTCCAGGTCCTCAGACTCCGGCGGTGCGTCCTCTCTGGGCTGCATGCTAGAGGGCCAGTTAGACCCGGTGGTGCCGGCCTCCTGCTGATGCCCACGGCGGTGCAAGGGGTCAGTTTCCTGGCTTGAAAGGAAGTGATAGGTCTCATCCTCCAGAGGCTGCGTTGGACCCCAGACCACCGCCCACAGAGGGGTGGGTGTGACCTGGGCTGTGACGGACAGCTGGACCGACTGGGCGTCTGCCTGCTCCTCGCCCTCACTATTGTCACGGTTACAGGTGGAGGGCCGTGTCACCAGAGCAACCAGGAGAATGCAGGTGAGGCAGCGAAGGGCAGTCAGTTGTGTGACAGGAGAGATGGAGCTGGAAGAGAAGTGGAGGAGAAAGAATGAGAGGTGGTGGACTGACAAAGAAGTTATCTAAGAGAATGTATCCTCCACCGGCGTCCTGCACGACCTCATCGGCTCAGAAATTGATTCTTATTCCAGCCATCACTCAGTATGACATTTTATGCATCAGCACCTCATACGTCCCTCCTCCACCTTGGTTACTCTCCATCTTACCATCTCTCCATCGCTTCGCTCTGTTCACTGAGACGCCGCTCCTCCGATCATCTCTCTCTGTAAGACAGGACAGGGAGGCAGGAGGGGGAGAGAGAGAGGGAGAGAGAGAGGGCGAGAGAAGGAGGAGGGTCCAGTTTTTTTTCTTCTTTCATGTTGCTAGATAAAAAACATGTAGACACCAGCAGGAGTATTGGCAGAAAGCCAACTGAAAAAAATAAAAATAAAAAAGCATACAGACTCCCCTGGGCTTTTAAATTATACGCACAATTGTGCGCCACATGTTTGAACGGAATCCACATCTGCATAAAAAAACACCCAGATTTACATACTCTTTGTACATTCTGCTCTCTCACACACACTTACAGTGAACACACCTGAGCATAGCGTATTAATCATCATTAGAAGCATCCTGCGTGGAGCAAATACTCCATGTGGCACTTTGTGCGGAGAAAGGCAACTTCCAATCCCAAAATTGCTGCCTAAATGCCACAGAAACGTCACTTAGAGACACACAAGCACGCCGGCAGACGGACACAGACACACACACGCTCTCCGACACATATCAGTTATCATGCCTACCTCTGGCAGTGGAGAGAGGGAATGAGAGAGGGAGACAGAGAGAAACGGGGGAGATACAGAGAGCAAGCGAGGAAAAAAAAAAGAAAAAAAAGCATCGGTTGCCTTAGCGACTGAGACATGTAGAGTCTGCTAGAGTAAGAAAGGGGAGAGAGAGCGATGAAGGGAGTGCAAGAGACTGTAGGAAAGAGATTTAAATGCTAATTATGTGCTTTAAAAAAAAATGGTTCAATTAAAATGGACGCAGAGGAAGATAAATTAATTTAAGGGGGCAAACAGAGATGATACCGAGGACGATTCTGGTAAGCTCTTATTAGAGGAGGTTAAAAAACTCTTGATGATGATGTTTACAAGAAAAACGGGCAAGGACACCCCAGAGAGCAAGATACCGAAATACAGACAGCAAAGAGAAAGGGGAAGGAAGCAAGGAAGGAAGGAACGAATGGGGGGGATAGTGGGGGGGGGGATAAAAGTAGTAAAATTTGATTTACATTTATCTACACAGGTTGCGGCAGCAAAGCAGCGCGACAAGAAGAATGTTTGAAGAATGAGCAGGATCAGGTTGAAATAACAAAAAAAAAGAAAGAGACAACAAGTGCTGCAAATATGGAGGTGAGAGTCACAAGGTGACATCTTTATTGTGTTGTGTAAATCATATTTACATAGAAAACAATCTGCCCATCACTCACACTAACACACTCACAATCTGCATCCACATGCACACTTGACACTCAGTCTGTCACACTCGCTTCCCCTGCACCCTCCGTCGCTGTCACTACGCTCCCTCCCTCTCATTTCCTCTTCATGGCTGCAGGCCGTGGCGTCCTCAGCATGAGCAGCCAGCACTCACTGGAGAACGCAGCGTAACCACGGGGCGGACCCTCCGTCCTCCGCGCCGGCAGACTCTTTTGCTTCGCCGCTGTCATCGTCGCCATCCTCGTAATCTAAATTCGACAGGGAGGTCGTGAAGAGATTCGCCACACCACGCATCATCCCGAATGAACATGGTAGTGACATATGCATTTTCATGGATTACTCATCAAGGATGTGAGTCCTTAAGTGAAGACCAGATGTTGTGTGAAATTGTGGCGTGTGCGTTTGTACCGTCAGTCTCCTCGTCCTCCTCTGTGTCCCCCTCTGACTCCAGCAAACACGACTCCAACCTACTGTCTCTCTTGGCGGTGACATCACCCCTAAAACATTAACACACACACAGTTGATTAAACACTGAATATCAATAAAGGTGTGTGTCAAAGTCAGCCTTATTCTATTCTGCTGGGCTAGAATTAGCAGAGCAGATGAACTTGGTGGAAATATGCAAATGGTAAATATAATTGCGCAGTTCATATTGAAATCTCTTTCACCGAGCGGTGTTGACATTAGCTGTGCCCACCTCTGCTTCCCGGATCCGGTGAGCTGCTCCCATACCACGAGGTCGCGACCTCCGGTGACCCATCGGTGGCCTCCGCTCCCTGTGGTCCACGCCGCAAAGCAGAGGATTCTGGGAGCGTCGGGCCAGGTCAGGGAGGCCAGGTACCGACACTGAGGCAGAGAGAACACTAGAGGGAGGAGAGGGAGATGAAGGAAATGGGGGTCAACAGAGGAAAACAAAGTGCTTTCGATTTTGTCTTAACTCCTTAATGTGCTTTCGCTCTCGCCGAGCGGAGCGAGTTCCTTGCGGTTGGCTCTGCGACTCACAGTTAAGCGAGCTCTCTCCATTCGCAAGATCGTGGCAGGAGCCAATTAGGAGGCCTCCTGTCTGGTGAACACAATCTGTTATCCCGGTGATGCTGTTGTGATTGGTCAGTCTGGACATGGTGCCTGTGATAATTGGACAGATGTTGGGTTGAAAGATTATGCAAATGTTCTTCATCTGGCTTCCTTTTTCAGTCATCCTGAAACGCACACAAACACACACTCTTTGCCCGCGCCACAGCTCACCGGTCCTCCAGTGCAGAATCTTGAGCCAGGACCGACCGTAAGCCAGGAACGCTCTGTCTCCCCGCGGGCTGAGTGTCAGACGCCCGCCCGCCCCCCCTCCACAGCCCGTCACCTCCCCTCCCCAGTGGTGCAGCAGCCTCAGGGGGTCACGTACTGAACACCGGTTCTCCCACACTGAAACCCCTCCATCGGCCGCGCCGCTGAACACCAGTGGACCCTGAGTCTGTGGAGGGCACAGGAGACATAGTTGTCATGGTGATCTGAGTCTTTCATCCAGTGTGTGTATGTGTATATCGGTTTGTGTGAGAGAAATATATAAACAGAAAAGGGGGAGAGCAAATGTGTAAATGGAAAAGAAGTGTGTGTTTGTAAAATGTACATTTCCATGCCGCTGTTGGTTGTAAATGGATTGTATGAACAACAAAAAGAAAAGCAATGATGCGCTGCGCTTCAATGCTTTAGGCATATTTTGATGATTAAGAATAAAAAAATAAAAAAATTGCCACAATGTGCCACTCTGCATTTCAATTTTCATAAAAAGCCTTTTTGCTCAAAACATGTACTGTATGCTCTCTAAAATTGGCCGAGCACCAAGGCTTACATCTCAAAACATCTTTGATTTCCATTTGAAAGCAATAATCAAGTTAAGCTTCTATGAGGATCAGAGTGTGGCCATATAACCATTTGATTTGCCTTTTCACAAATAAATAATTTATAAAAAATCACAAAGCTCTAAAACTTTGGGCAGCTTCTCCGGAAAAAGAAGCGTCGGCTTGTTTTCTCGTGTGTTTTTCGAAAGAGGCTGAACATAACAGCAGCTTGAGCAGCGCCGGTGTGGACAGCACATCGTGGCACGTCGGTGAACGACCCGCCCACCTGGACGGAGGTGACGGCTTCCTGGTGAGCGTTGATTGACTGGCAGTTTTCAAAAGTGTGCCAGCTCCAGGCCTGAACTTTCCCCCCGTCTGAGGAGTGACAGAGTGCGAGGTTAACACGCGCCGACAGGCGGCTGCCCGTCATTGTCGTTGGTCACGGTCGAACCCACCTGAGCCTGACTGCCTAATCTGTGCGCCTTCATCTCTTTCATTCAACCCAATAGCCCAATACTAAACTCACTAACTTGCCAGCAGATGATGAGCAGAAGTAGCTTTAAAATACAAATATAAAGTCCAACTGCAATTATCCAGTTCACGGCGTCATTAGCTCTTGGCTTTTTGCACAAAAACTCTACCTGATCCGGTGATGATGTAGCCGTCGTCCTCTGGCACAAAGCAGAGTGCAGTCACCGCGTTGAATGTGTAGATAGACTTGACACACTGCCCTGGAGGGAACAAGGAAATACTGATTTCACTGACAGTACACAGACAACCAGTCACACACACACACACACAGGCATTCATTGGTACACTGAGACACATTAAGGTAGACAGACCCCCGAGGCTCAAGTCTCAGAGCCCCGAGGCTCGGTCTACCACCGATACGTTCAGCATATATATGTACACTTTCTCAAGTGTGTCCAAACCTTTGACTGGTACAGTATGCGTGAGTGTGTGTGGGCTCAAGCTCACCGATGCTCAGGGCCCAGATCTTCACATAGCAGTCTGCCGAGCCACTCAAAATAAACCTCTCCTTGTCGGACAAAGACAGGCACCGGGCTGGTAAGAGGGACGGAAAAAGAGGAACAGGAAAAAGAGAGGGAGAAGATGACAAAAAGGAAAAAAGCTGTAAATAAGTGATGATGTTCGAGAAGAGGACAGATTGCAAGGAAGTGGAAAAAAAGGGGCACGATTAGACAAAAGATCATTTGTCTTTGAAGGCTGTGTGACTATTACACTGAGCAGCATCCTCTCTACTCGCTATTCTGAGTTGAGGGAAGCAGCTGGGGAGCGCGTGTAGGAGGAGAGCCGGAGAGGCCGGTGGAGTTTAAGTGATGGAAGGCTGCCTGCTTCAGACAGACAATGAACCCTCTGAAGTGTCTGCTGAGGTTGTGTCTCACTGGGGCTGATCTGATGAACTGCTCCCATAATTACCAGACTGCAGGACACGGGCGGAACTCAGCTGTGGTCGCTGCACATGCGTGTCTGTGTTGCCTCACCCAGCATCTTGCAGTACTCGGGGGGAGGCGCAGACAGACAGGTGACTCCACCGGCGTGACCCCCGAGGTTCTTGTGCTCCGTTGCTGTGGGAACGTGCCACACCTTCACCGTTGTATCTCGGCTTAGAGGAGGGAGACGGACGGAGTGAGGAAGAGTGGATGCGAGAAGGTGAAAAAAAGGAGAGCAAGTGGAGGAAGGTGAAAACAGGTTAAAAAACCATTGAGGCAGGGGAAGGGAAACAAATATGTCGGACAGCGCGGGGGAGAGCGGGTGCATATCAAGCAATAAATTAGGTGAGATGTTCACTTTGCACAGCCATTATGCAAATGGAGACTTTGTTCCCGCTTTACCTTCCAGAAACCACCAGGTTGTCAACAGCAACCACACAGGTGACTATGTCATTGTGACCCTCCAACAGCCTCAAGCGAAACTTTGCCTTCTCCCAGGACGATTTGAGGGATGCAAATTCAGCCTCTGCAAAAGGGAAATGATTTGTCCAATTAGCACTGGTAACTCATCAGCGCCCCAACTCGTTAATCTACACCGTTCTTCAATATGGATTAGTCTGCCGCTACGAAGCATGGGCTAATTTAGCTCTGAGGCTGCGAAACGTGGGTCTTGCCTCCGGGGGAGCAAATGCAGCCCGTCGGTTTTAATTCCCGAAGCCACATGAGCTTAATAAATCCTCAGGGCACGCATGTCGGATTTGACATGTGTAACGACAAGTCGGGGCACCGCATTGTGCATTTAGCGGCCGTGCGATAAACTGTGGCATCAACTTTGCAAACGAATCCCACCTTCCTGTTGCGGTCGCGGCTCGGTGTCAAAGTCAGAGCGGCCTCCTGACACGTCCCGGCAGTTATCTGGCACCTCGCCCGGCTCCGTCCTCTCCGGCTGCCTGCCTATCTCTGCTCCCCTTCCGGTCTCCCGCTGCCTGGCGGCCGGTGCTGGCGTGGCTCGGCCTTTGGACGGCTCTTCTCCCTTCGGGATCTTGGACGCTGGAGGCGTTTGTGATGGAAGGGCCCCAGGGGCTTCTTCCCTGTGCCAGTGAAGGAGAGCGAGAGTTGAAATGAATAATCAAGATGCATGGGCACATTCCCTTTGTGACAGCGATACCTGTGGAGCCGCTGCAAGTCCCACATAAACAAAGGCAGTGCGTAGAAAGAACATTAGTGTTGCTCTCAATTTGATGGTAACATCCACAGATGTTGATTCCAGTTTTCAGCACGACGCCCTGGGGCGCTCTATTAACGAGAAAGGCATCCCTGAATGATGTTTACGCGACACATTATGTACAGTGGGAAATTCCCGTTCTAGTGAAGCGTGACAGTATTTGACCTCCAGTTGGTTTGGATAGAAATGCAAGATAAGATCAAAGGC